CGGGCTGGCCACGCTTCCAGTGTTCGTAGTTCAGCGAGGGAGACTTGGACACCTCGCTGAAGCCATCTACGGCAGCGTCCTTCCGCACCCCAAGGAAGGGGGCGGGGGCTGTGGGCTGGCAGGATGTAAACGTGCCCGTGCCAGGGCTGGGAGAAGCTGGAAAGCCCCTGAAGAGGAAACCCACGTTCGGGAAGAGAGGCTTCACCAGGCTGACGGGGCAGAAGGCCGAACCGGTGGGGTTGAAGTGCACTTTGTTCTTATCTGGGCAGGAAGGCTGGAAGGGCTGGTCAGGGCTGGGCGAGCTGAAGGAGAGGCGGAGCGGACACAGTTAGAACAGAGACTCCCGAGGGCACCGAGCGGCCGGCGCCTGCAGCCCCAGGGAGAGCACCCGGAGCCCTGCACTCTTCCAAGAGCCTGACTAAAGGCCGACCGGCACCGCCCTGCAGGCACGGAGCGGCACAAAGAGCCTGTTTCGACTGAAAGCACAGGAGAACGCCTCTTCCCAGGAGGCTCTGCTGGCTGTGGAAAACCCGCTGCCTGGAAGGGCGAGGAATCGCAAGATCCTTCCGAGCCTGTCTGAGGGTCAGCAGCTCAGCTCTTCCCACCAGGACCTGAGCAGCCATGGTTTTGCTGGGAGTCTTTTCCCAGAGGCTGCTCCCTGCTTTCAGAACAGGGCAGGGGTGGCAGTTGCAGCATCAGAAGCAGCAGCTGCCCCAGCTGCCCCCACCCCAGCATCCTCCCACAGGGCCAACCTCGCGTGAAGGGCCACCTCATACTTACGAAGCTTCTTCAAAGGCCCGGACCTTCTCACATCCCTCGGGAGGTTCCCGTTTAAACACGTAGCTGTGATTGGGCCGAGGAGAAGAAGCAAAGGCCAGGACTGGTGAGGGGCTGCCCTCTTCTAGCAGGGAAGAAAAGATGGATTTTTGAGAAATTTTTAAAAGAACCCAACCATCGCTCTTTAACTCAACTTAAGCTCTGCAGGCTACAACACCCCAAAGCTGCAGCATTTTACCTGTGTAGTCCCCAGCTCTCACCCTCCATCCAGGGCTGGAAGCCACCACCTGGAGGGCAATCACTGGAGCTTTAAGAGTCCACTCCAGTTTAGCCAAATTGGCCAAGACCCTCTCTCCCATCTCGGCTGCAGCTTCCAACCCAGCACACAGACAGGGAGGAGCCACGGCACCAAGGGTTTCCTGGCACTGGCCCCCTTCGTCTCCCCTGACCTCCAGCCCCGCTGCTTTTGGTGTTTACCTTTCTCCTTCGGATCTGGCTGCACCTCATCTGCCGCAGAGGAAGGCTCTTCTGCTGCCAGCCTCACCGGGGTG